GCCACACAGCCATCAGCTTTAAACAACCAGTTTGATCATACACAGGCTGGAGCCACTTAGAAAAACCTCTAGTATGAGCTATCCAAGATGCCAGAAATGTGCAAACTCTTTTTTGGTATGTGGGCCTCGCAGGGCCTCGCGGACTGCGCAAGCCTAAACTCCGGAAAGCCTGGAGAAGCTGAGGCCAAGCACCGGAGAGCCCTCTGCGTGCGAGAGCTCAGGAGAGCCTGCCGGAGGTTCCCAATTGGGGCGTATCAATCAAGCTACTTACATATGACATCCATGAACAAATGCCGTTTAAACTTATTAGAGAGTGAGTGTTGAAGCAACCTGCAGTCTGTACATCCTGGTGTAGGTTCCTGCCTTCGTGTCGGCGGCTGCCAGCAACCAAGTGTCGCCCTGTCATGGCCATGGTGGGGTGGGGTCGGGAACTGTTTTGGGCTTCCCAAGACTGTCCTAAATCTTTATTTGTCAGGGTTTTGCTTACGTGGACACAATGCAGAACGCTAAACTTTCTCGGTCGTCCTCGATCCTCGAGGACCTACTGCATCTCGTAACCCTGTATACTTCAAACCAAGAACGACCAGAAAACCCTTAACCGCTAGTGACCCACCAGGACCAAGCCTCCGCCAGCTCGGCTTCCAGCTGTCCTGGACCCCATCCGCAGTGGCCAACGAGCCTCACAGTCTCTCCCAGTGTACTGTCAACCCAGAACCCAAAATTATCCCGCGCTAAATGTCGATTGGCTTGAGGAATGGGGGAATCGTACAGGAATCATGGCGATCACATGAATGGAATGCACAGTTGCAGGCGGCGTTTCGTAGCGAATACTCTGCGCACACTGTTCCAACGAGCATTCGTTGTAGATTCGGGAATGCGCCGTGACCTTGTCTAGTCAACCTCAAATCAACCGTGGCGCAGGGACTACAATGTGTGAGAATGTGTGAGTCTCTGTGACTGCCCACCCTGGGACAGCTCAAAATCCATACAAGTCCCAACATGAAGCAGACAAGTGTCAGCATGAAGTCTTCTTCCGTGGCCTGACCATGCAGTCCAGTGTGGTACAACAGCTTAAGGATTCGTGCGACTGGGGTCGAGAGCCCATGGGGTTCGAACCGGCAAGCAATGATTGCTTTCATTTTTGGGTTCCCGTGAAAGAACTATGCTACACGATAGGCTGCACTGTTGAATCCCTATGCCGTACTGCGCCAATACTTATATGAGGAGTTGCTTCTCCACTTTGCCCGCATCCCTGGACTGCATCGTGACGCGACAACAACAATGCCAACGCAGAAAGAACATCTGCAACACCTCAAGCACGGCCACCTCGCCACCCGACTCCAGGATGTATCCGGCGGCAGCCCAGGGCTCGCTCATGTAAATGCCCTGTGAGAGAAGGAGGCCAAACGAATTTTTCGACCGATTCGAGAAGGCGATCATGTCACATCGTGTTACTGACGTGCATCAAAACCAGCCAGGAGCAAGAAGATGCGGCCATGTCGGCAAACCATGTTTTTGGCTTAAGACCCCTCGTGTTCCAGAGAATAAGAAGCAAGTATCGTAGGCTCTGAATCTGGAACCAACAGACATTGGCCCTGCCTGAGCGACGGGCTCCGCCCCGGGGATGTCTGGCCGCATGTGGAGGCAAAACTTCCACTGGCTGCCTCTTGTGCGAAACGGGGCCCTTCACACAAAGGACCAGACTGGCATCAAGGGAGTGTCGGCACTGCTGGAGAATGCGAATCGGCCATGCATGCACATGTCAGGGGACACAGGGGACATGGTTTTCTCCGGAAGCCCGGAAGCAGTGTCGTCGCAACCCCCTCAAAGCTACGCAGCGCACGAAAGCGTAGAGTTGTTTTCTAAATAGGCTTTCGTTCCCATGCTTTCCTGCTGAACTTGCTCCTCAAGAACAGTGAGATTGTCTGTTATTGGACTGCCGAGATGCTCTCGTCATGGTCTAGGCCCTGGCAAGGCCCACCATACCAAACGGTGAACTCCAACCGGCCAAAGGTTTCTACCCGCGTGGTGGGGCGATTCAAGACGAAGCCTGAGCATCTGAAGCACAACACAGCGGAGAACAAACAGTGTGCCTCGGGGACAACCTATATGAGGATATCCGCGTACCAGGAGTTCTGGAGATTTGGGCGTGCGCAATGCATGCGGCCACAGTGAATGCACTCGCTACAACTCGTCGTCAGCAAGACACGAGTACCAAGAGCTAAGGAGCCCATGTCATAGTCATCTCCGTGCTCTGTGATGAGAATGACCGCCTCGCATGGCATGGCAGAGTTTCTGGGCACGATTTTGCAAAAACATCAAGTCTCCCAGCACGCATCAAAAGACCGTACCAGCTCAAAGTACACACAGGACCTTTCAACAGCCTTTTCAACATGCACGCCTGCCAGAGGCTGGCTAAGCTGTCCGCACTTGAACCTTCTGCACGAGCTTGCTCCCTAATTGCGCCTGCACATGACAACCGCGCACCTTGTGAAAGCAAGGGCACTCCAGCGACCAAAAGCCAGGTTTGGCGACCAGCACGGAGCCCTTCTCTACAAGTGGGCTGCGGTGCATCCAGGTGTCCTTACACGCAGGCGGCTCGTTTGTGTTCCCAAGATCCCAAGACAGGGATGGCTTGTCTGTTTTCGGTGTGAATGCGAGCCTCTTGCCGGTTAGCTTGGCCCATGTTCCGTGCCCTTCGTTCTACGCTCCTCGTTCTACGCCCGCGAAGCACTAGAACTTGACTTGTTGTCCCATCTGCACCCACAAGACTTCCTCAACCAACGGGGTGTACTTGGCATGAAGCGAGTTGCTGGGACATTGGCGTCAGAATCGTCCAGTAGAGCTGCGGAGGCTTCACGCTCGATGAGTCGTGCTCGGAACTGCCTTCGGCTGCATAACACAAGGCCTGCAATGCTCTCATGTCCAGCCTGACAGTACTTTGCCCACGGTACACCGATCGAGAGTTGAGTTTGTAATCACTTAGAGGCAGTACAGCGTTACCACGCGTTGCTGCTGCCATCTCGGATACAGTACCACGTTCCTCACTCCGAAGCCTTCGACCCCGAAACTGTGTTGCACCTCCAGTCCACGGAACTCTCTTGTGCCGGGTCATCACTTGCCGTGGCCTGCTAACTGCGAGGCGATCGAGATTTGATGTGGCTTCAGAATGAAGTTCATGCCTAGCCTGGGCGGATGCCGTATCTCTGTTACGCTGTTTTTGAGCCAAAGCTCTCACTGCAAAACGGGACCCGTTGATTCAATCCAAGTGCATACAACGCCTAAGGCGTGGTGGGTGGTGACAGGGAAGCCCCCCCTCCATCTCCAAGCAGACAGACACCATGACAAGACATAAGGCCGACGTCTTTCCCATGATTCCTTTGCGATGCAGCTCATGCGCGTATTGAACTTTCAAATTCGGGCGAGTTCCTCAATTGAGCACGCCCAAAGTTTGCATCACGACCCGAACTGTCTGAGGAACTCAAATCCATGCTGGGCTATCTCTTTAGGCTCTGCAGTAGCTCAAGCATCCTATACGGTATCATTCGGTATCATGATTGAACGTCCTTGCCTGGCTTTGACCCTGAAACCACGTCATATGACACAACGAGGGAATTCGTCATTCGAGCGATTTGAGCGATGTGTGATGGCTGGGGCAGCCTCTCCTGCCAGGTATAGCATTTGAATATGTGGGGGGCTATTGTGTGCGATCAGGCCCAGAATCAACTCGGTGCCTTGTGGAAAATGTTCATGGCAGAGCTAAGACGTTGGTTCTACGTTGGGTTAAGGGTGCTTATCCGGTGCGGCCGCGGCACACTTCGCAGGGTGCGGCCCTTCGTCCAGGTTGGCCCACGCAAGCGGTGAAGAAGTGGAACGAATCCGAATGCAGCCCAAGTCAGCCTGTAGCTTACGAAAATCTGAGTGCTAATTCTGAAGTGGATGACGGGGGCTGAGGACCCTAAATGATCCTAGCAGTGCTTGGGGCGGGGGTTGTGGGGCAAAGAGCAACCTGGTCCCTTTCAAGTGGGACTTTTAATCTACTGGTCTCATAGATTCAACAAAACATTCTTCTGTTGGCAGATCATGTTTCTCAGGTAATTACTTGTGTAACACTCCAGAATATTGCCCGAACTCTGCCCAGCCCGAACGGAGGGAAAAAAACAACCAGATCCTTTCCCCGAACACCTAACTCGTCCCGACTGAAGATCATATAATGGTACCTTTGCTGGCTGTTGAATTAAAACAACTTCTCTCGGGTATTTGCATTTTCATGTTATGGCTCTATTGCTGTGCTGGATTTTCACAAGTCGAAGCTTGCACGACAAGCGTCAGCATCAGCGCGCTCAAGGCGCAAAGCATCCTGCGCAGCCGTGTCAGGCGCAGCATCCGGCCACAAGCAGCTTGGAGGACCGCTCGTGGCGTCTGTACAAACTTGATTCCTAAGCCCTGCACGCAGAGGCAAACATAGTTGGCCATGGGGTCTCGGGTACACTTCCATTGTTCAGCGTCCGTAGTTGCCGTTCTATATGCTTCATTGCAGTAATGGTGAATGTCGAGACGAAGCGAAGAAGGGCTGTCCAAGTGGCCCGCTGTCGCTGCCTAAAAGCAACTGCTCGAAGATCTGTGAAGTCACTGTGGTTGTGCAGAGAACTGAGGTTCTTGTCTGCCTGTATAGGCACCTCCTACATCGATACCTGGCCATTCTCTGCCAGGGTGTGCTGCGGAAACGGAACTTGATCCAAGTAGGAATCAAGGAATCATGGCTTTCGAGGTTCGGCCAGCTTTGGGGTTCAGAGCCCTCCAATGCTCAAGGAATACCGTGGACGACACTCCTTAGCGGCACTCGCGCAGGCTGTTTCAATGGGCAGCGGATGTTGCGAATTTTGCCAACGATCCCCAGTAGTGCATACTAGGCCCGACTAGGATATGCCTTCGTTGCGCATACCTGCAACCACTCAAGGTGAGCAATAAAGCCGACAGCCTGCAGCCCTCCCATGCACCTCGGAAGGCACCGCACCTCTTGCAGCGATGGGGCCTTCCACGGCTCTGAACTCTGAAGCCCAAGACAACCATTGCGCGGAGTCACTAAATTTTGGGTCGAAAGCCAAGGAAGGGCGCATCCGATGTCGGTCGCATCCATCGCACGGTGTCCTCAAGAGCAGTTGCCAGGGCCTCATCGTCAGTGGTGCAGACCATGCCGCATGCTACAAAGTCCGCCGATGGAGGCACTGGTGCCCACATGTACCTGCACGGAAAACGAAAAAGGCAACGCCCACGGAATGACAAAAGCAGAACGTGCACACTCCAAAACTGAAAGAAGGAGTTTTTGGAACGTTAAAAAAAGCTTTGAGGGCTTAAGGCCGACAAAGCCTCTGAGGCTACACATTTCTACTCAGAATACCTCGTCCGATCGAAATCCTAAACCGAGCTTCTTCGGCGAGATGAGGCACACGCACATGCACGCATGCACACGCCGCACACCTGCGCACACACGCACGCGCACGCGCACGCGCACGCGCACGCGCACGCGCACGCGCACGCGCACGCGCACGCGCACCCGCACACGCACCCGCACACGCACACGCACACGCACACGCACACCCACACGCACACACACACACACACACAGACAGACAGACAGACAGACAGACAGACAGACAGGACAGGCCAGACAGGACAGGCCAGACAGGACAGGACAAACTTGCACAGGGTCTGAGTCGCCATGAGTGCCTTCCTGGGTCTGCCGACCCTTCCTTACAGAGGAAGGGGCGAGACCTGAACTCCCAAGACACCTCAGACAGAGCCCGAGAACCCCAACCCAACCCACCCCGCTAACGAATGCTAAGCTCAAGTTGCAGCTGCGCCACACGAACTTCAGTGCGGTTTCTTTGAGATGCCTCGGCATCATTCTGAATAGAGCTGGTACTAGAGAGATTCGCTTCAGGGTCTCAATTAGCCTAGGGATCTTACAAAGACAAACTGAAGGTGAAAGCTGGGCAGACGCCAGAGGCTGTGTTTAGGAGCAGCCTGGGGGAAAGGCTGCAAAGACAAACCCCAATTGCTAAGCCTGAATGTGTAGCAACCAAACGGGGGAACGTGCAATGTCCACAGCTCCTAGTGCAACAAATAAAATCGTAAACTTGCCTTACGCTGTCTTGCGCCGCCTCAGACTGCCAAGCAAAAAAAAATTTGCAGTCGACCAACCTGTTGGGCTGGCAACTAGGATATTCTGATCTCCTCCAGATCCTACAGCCCGAACGGCTTACAGAGATCTTCCGAGTGCACTTGCGCGTCAAGCCCTCCAGGGCCCTTAACTAAGAGTCGCACCAAACTTGACGGAAGCGAATCGGGTGTGGAAAGAATGTGTCCAGGAAGCGATTAAGCTCATCCTCTGCAACCCACCCAGTCACTAGCAGTTTCACTGTCACACCTTCCGACTACGCGCTGATAGCAAGAATGCACAGGTATCCCCGAATGCGTCCCGCGGGTGCTTCGCGAAGAAGCCGCTGTACTGCTCGTCGGTAACCTGCCACGGCAGAGCTACTGTTCCAGACTGTTCCAGCCGTGGCCAGGGTCAGCGGAAAGGCTCATGCAATGAGACCGCCGACTCCGTTTCCAACATTTGTCCCAACTAATCCACCTTCAGAGTCTCTGCAGCTGCTTCACTGCCGGGAGAGAAAGTCCACAGCAATGTGTTTGAACAAATGCCTCCAGCAACTCCACTGTGGGAGGTGTAGGGCTCATGCTAACCTGAAGCAGGGCTCAAAATCTGCGAAGGCTCTCAGGAGCTACTGAAGAGCTTTCCAAACGCACAGCCCGACTGCCAACTTCAACCTCGATGTCGATACCGCTTGAGTGAACGTCTTCCCTGCTTCATGCTGCGGGCCAGACATAGTGGCCAAATGATAGCCGCTCCTTGACGGCGTGGGAGCCTTCCGCCGGTGACCAGAGCCGAGATCCACACCACCCTGACACCTATGCTCTCTGATTTCTTCAATACCCACTCCCCGTGAGGAGGAAAAACACAATATGTGTATCCAGGATTCTATCTCACTGGACGCCACTCATCCTGAATCTACTTCCTTTGAGCAATTGTAGCACCTCACCACTCTGGAAAAATGCCACGCACAGACCGCTGACAGATTGGGGCAGTATGCAATGCTCAACCCGAATTCCCCCGCCCCCCTCTTTGAACATGATGGGCCTCGCTTTACGCCCAGAAACTTCCCGCGTGGAACGAGCCTAAGGCACAGGCTGAGAAGCCAAGACTGCAGCCACGCTGTTCGAGCACTTCACTTTTCTTTCTTTATTTTTTTTTATTTTTTGCGGGGGGGGGGGGGGTTGCCACTTGGAAGTTGTGTTCCCCTACCTCGTGCACATGGTGAAAAGTAGGGCCTCGCTGAACCCCAAAAGAGATAGGGACCTCGCACAAAACGTCTTCGGTCAGTATAAGTGGACTTCGCCAAGGTTGCGGGTGTGTGTGTGTGTGTGCATGCACAACCTGGGGGTGACGTGTATTCTGACTGGCTTCAATCTCTCTCTCGGCATACTCAGCAAACCGGACTCTATGGCTAAAGGATTGGTAAACTTGTGCAGAGATGCAGTTCCATCCCTGGCCCCAGGACATTGAAGACCGCTCCCTTCAGCAAATTAGCACGTGCCAGGACGGACCCCATGTGATCCGAGTTCTGCTGTTCTTGCTGCCCTATGAGGTTACCCAGCTTCAAGTCGCTCAACGCAACCTCAAATGCAGGAAGCTTTAAGCTTCAGGGTTGAGGGCGTCAAGAGACAAGTTCCTGAGCCTTAATAGGGGCAAGCATGGGAAGGCTCATCAACACGTCTGAAGTTCATCCACACCCTCTGCAAGTTTCCTCTCAAGCAAAGGTCCCCGGCTCAACGGGTGCCCAGACCACGAGGGAGGGCTTGGCGCCCGCGTCATTTGCAAACCATATAGCATGGAACCTGGTTGCAGGCTTCAGCTTTGCACACACACACACACGCACATATTGCCACATCGCTTATGGGAGCTGTTTAAAAGAACATGGCTCTGGGTTCCTGGCAAAGGCCATGACTCAGCATGCTGAGTAAAGTACAGCAAACACGCCACGCTGCATGACTGTCGAGGCGTCGCCATATGGAACTTGACTATGATGAAAGCATCTTCCCTAGGAAACTGCAGTTGCCGAATGCCCCAAACTAACATCGGCTAACTTTAACACCTTACAGGACCCAGATCAACGGAGCCTGAACTGAGACCCTTGGTCGAGAAGTGGCAAGTGCGAGGCGCCGACGCCGAATGCTTCTGCCACTTGTGCTTGAACCGGCCCGCCTGTGCGCTCTTGTGCACTACTGTGCACTTGGAGTCGAGTAGGAATGCCGCGCTTCGGTTGTTTTCAGTCATGGGGAGTGGGTGTCTGTGTTGTGTGTCTGGGTGTCGTTTGGGATTCGGCGATCGATTGAAATTCTTCTCAGGTTTCAGTGTCTTTTAGCATTCTGCAGGCGCTGACATTACCTAGACTCCACCTAGTCAGGCGTCGGCACGTGTGGGGAAGCGTCGGGGTTTTCGGCTTGGGGGTCTGAGGGCGCTGGGGATCGGAAGTGATCCGGTCATCTCGCCCACATGCAGTGAGTGAGGTCTTGCATCAGTGCTGAAACTGAGACCTGCTCGTTGTTCTTGGACCCGCTGGGAGTCGTGTTTATTTTGTTGTTTTCAGCTCGTCGGTTCTTTGGTTTACTGTTTCATTCTTGTCTGGTTCTGGTTAGTAAGTCAAGCCTGAAGCCAGCAAAGCACCTACGGCTCATGATGGCTGCTAAACGCTCTCATGACGTGACAGTGAGATATAGTTCGGCATCCCACCTCCAAACGGCCCCATACAACCCGAGTAATTACGAGGTCAACGTCTGGGGATCGTGCTGAAAGCTGCCGGCACATGTCTGGTGACAGCCGATAGACCTCACTGACGGTTGCTTACTGGTTGGAACGCACTTTGCTTCATCAAGCACATGAGTTTGTTCAGCTTGTTTGCGTGGGGCAATTTTGTTGGGGTGCCAGACGATCCGACATGTTCAGCTTTCCAATTTGGGACGAGGGATAACGAGGTTTTCATGAATTGTTCTCCTACTCTAAGGCAAGAGCGCCGCCCTCCGGAGAGCAGCTTGGCGTACGCGGTCTGCCGCGGATGCAACGTCTGGGGCTTTTCTTTTCCCGATCATGCACACCACAGGCACGGAAATGGCTTTCCGGCCTGTGATGCTTCCACCCTCTCCTCGATCTTTCACCCACCCTCAACCCTCGTGAAGAGCTGAGGATTGCAGCCGCAAGCCTAACCTGCATTCATCGTCAAGTATCGTACGGACCTCCATGCATTCTGCATCGTGATTTGTCATTCCCCTTCTAGTCTCGGTGAGGCTCTTTGGCCGGCTTCATTACAACAAAAAAATTGCTTAATCACGTCAGGTGCTTGGAGAACAGCTTGTGACACCACATGTCCCAATCGGCACCTCGCCAATGGCGAGGGTGTGGCAGTGCCGGACGCCGGGATTTCCTGCAAAGTAAACACCGGATCAGGTCTGAAACCCTTCCAAGTCTTGAATGGACCTTCAACCCCAAATTTCAGCCTACAGCAGCTGACCAGTATTTTCAATTCTCATCCCTGACTTCGAGACTCGCGTTTAACATGTTCCTACTTCGTGCTGTGCAACCAGCCCCGTAACGAAAACAGAGTCTCCTGGCCTTGCTCGCAGGTGAGTTCGTTCTTACTTCAAGGCAGCTGAACCCATCTGCTTCAAACAAATTTTCAACTGGCTGCACGACTTGCGTGCGGCATGTAATTAATCATTAACCAACCGCCTTCTTCTTACTTGCAATGCGTTCATCAACGAAGTCTCGCATAGCTAGAGTCAGGTCTGAGAAGAGGAAGATGCCGACTGGTAATGCAACGGCTGACCCCGACCCCGAGGGCGTCCATGAAAAGTCCGTGCTGGACCGAGCGCGCAAGAAGTAGTGCCAACTCCTTGCCTGCCTCGAAGCCGAACCGAGCCATGCGCTCTGTTATCCAGTCTGAACCGCCAGTTCGAACCATTGATGCTGAAGGCCGTGCAGGAGTAACCGAGAGAATATTGTGAGTGGTGTCGAGATCCCGCTTCCACGCAGGGATGTGTGCAAATGACGATTCGTGTTCGAGCGTGAGGCATCACAAGGAAAAATTATTCTAACAGCAACCATCTTTTGTAGGAGGTTCTCGAAAGAAACAAGCGGGCGTTTAGAACAAGTTGACCGGGCGTCGTGGAAACTTCCGGGGGGATCGAAGCCCATGCAGGCTTTGCCATAGGCCATCGAGATGATGCAACTCTGGCAACTCTGCGCACCCTCGTGCACTCCGACCTCGATGGTCTTGGCAGCTGTCACTGCTGCTGCCACTGCCGCCGGTGTGGCGAGCGGGAGATTTGTGGCAGTGCTGGGCCCCCCTGGCACGAAGCAAACATTTCAGATGAACGGTCTGTCTCTTGCTTTCAGACATTTGCAGGACACATGCGATTACCGTGAAGATCCGTGAAGCCTTCCCCGGCCGAGGGCTTCTTTGGCGAAGCGGATGGTGTCAGGGGATCGGCCTGAACAAGCGCAGCTAAGAATCGATTTCAACTTAGATGTAGAATTACGATACGAGCGGCTATACAATCATATCCTCCCCGGTGGGGCCTGTCGCGGCGTCTTGGTCAATGCAGAGTCTTTACCTTCTGACCTTGCCAGTCTTTTCGGTGGTCTGAGAACTACACCGGGCACTTCCCGCTCAATCACTCTCGCGAGTTTCAGCTGACTTGGATTAGTTCAGGATTCGAGGCCAGGCCTGTGAGAAGTTGAAGTGACTGGATTGAAAGCAAACTTAACACGATTTGCGCTATATACGCTAATGTGTCAAGATTTCCGCTGGAGAGGCCAGGGAAAGCTACGCGTAATCCGAGTAACCTGAGACCGCACTCTTCCCCAGGCCAGGTACGCGTTGCCCGAGGCCCGTGAAGCCGGAGAGGCTGCAGAGAAGCCCTGATGGGCCAGGGAGAGATGTCAGGCGTGGAGGCTTTGAGCTTTGAGGCGTCTCTAGAGATTCGTTGAGGCTGGGGAACGGTACATGTTCTCAGGCCGTTGATGTGTGGATATGTATGGCACCCTTGCAAAGGTGCCATGCTGCGCATGTCAACTTGGAAACAGCCAGACGCAAACAGTCAAACTAAGTCTAGGAAGATGAGGTGTGTGATGGTGTGTTTGTGTGTGGCAGCGATGCAACTGACAAGCCAGCTTCAGCTTTTTCCTCCAAATCATTGTGCCGGATCTCGTGGTTTTCATCCTGTTCTTTACGGCTTTTGCACGTTGAATCTCGTAGCACACAAGAGTGACTTTTCAGAGACTCCTCTTTAACCGAGCAGTTTGCGAAAGGTTGACGAAAACCGCAATTCGCCGGGGGCTGTTTCCTACAACATGCGAACCACAGAACTCCGAACCGATGGTTCGTACAATTAAGTAGTATATTGCAGGTGGCCCTGGGCCTTGAGGTGTTTATGGCGGCTTTCCGTTCTACAAGCACCACAGCACCCCAAGAATGCGGATCACCTCCAGGTCTGCGTCGCGCTGCTCCAGGGCAGTACGGAAGTCTTCCAAAAAGATCACCTGGGGGCAGCCCCGTAAAGCATGATGCCCAATATAAGGTTGCAGTCAAAGGCGACCTGAAGCCCCGCTAGAGCTGCATGATCAGCTGACGGGAAAGCTATATACTACAATGGCGGATAGCAGCTGCTGCGGTGCCACACCAAAGGCCAGAGTACAAACACGAGGCTTTGAAACTTGCAATGAGCACAGGATGGGGTGATGGGCAACAGATGGCAGAACAATGGGGATTTTGCGATGCCTGACAGTTCCTTCCCGCCAGCCGCGGCACACGACTAACGACAACGTGCGGCTGCCCCAATCGTCGAAACGCTGCACAAAAATCATGTCGGCAATAGAGGCACCCAGTGAGCTAGAGGCACCCGGTGAGCTCTGCTCTTGTCATCATGAGAAGTGTTACGCGAGCAGGTTTGCCGGCTTGCCCAGAAACGATCTGCAGAACAGATTGCTAATTGCACGTTCCGCGTGATCCGTCCCACCTCCCGCCCCTCCTGCGCAATCCATCGGAACCTGGGCTATGGGCGGTCCGAGGCGGTCTGGGGCCCCAGCAAAGCGGTTGAACTTTGGGCATAAACCTTCCACAACCCCACCTCGAGTTGATGTTGCCTAAGGTTGCGCCTGGTCCGTCCCAAATTTTGTGGCGATTTGTGAAAGGTCCCTTAACACAGAAAGGCTGTTGCTAAGCCAGGGCCAGCTCTGGAGCTTGCAGGATTTTACAGGGTCTAGCTGGGTGCGAGTTGCACACTTACATTATCTTATACAAAAAGCGCCAGTTCTGTTTGCCAGAGTCCCTCAGAATCCCTGAAAAAGCCGCTCGGCTCCTGAACTCCCTGGGCCCCGGCAAGTTGGTCACTTGCTGCATCCAGCGAGCGTCGTTCAACCCCTCACTACGCACCTCAGAACTTGAGCACAAAAATCCAGGATGTCACTGTCTAACATCTGTACTGGAATGTCGGGTAAAGATAACCTTCAAGCATCCACCTCCTCATGTCAACCCTCCTGCTAGAACATGACACCCAGAAGTTCGGCAAAAAGAAGCAGGGCATCAAAAAACCAAGCACCCGGCCCCCAAGCTCTCCAGGCCTGCCAATCATATCCAATCTGCGCTCTTTACAAAAGGGGATGGCCAGTTAAAACTGCTTGCAACGCACTCTTCTCTGGGTGAAAGATTTGCAACCTTGCAACCTTTTAGAGTCTACAAGTGGTGGGAGCACCCGCTGCCAGGTCCCTTCTCTGAAGACAGCCATTGTTCGAAGTGTCCTGTCGAGGGCGGCATCACCAGCTCTGCACAAAAAGAACATGTTTGTGCGTTTCATTCCTGCGCAGATGTAGGTTGCGTTCAACACGTGACCTACGAAATGCAGCATGTGTGCAGCCGTTTATTGGCCTAGCCCAGAATGAGTTATGTGAACGAAAGCTCGGACTCGAAGACCATGTGGATGTAGAAGCTGCGTGTCGTGACAGGCTTGCGTATCTGAACAAATGAACCTGCATGCGCAGCTTTTTCTTGCATATGTCATGAGCTCTCCCAAAACATAGTGTCAACCAACCATCATACACCCAGGTGTATTCAGCATTTACAGCAAGTCACACGCCCTCACACACTCAACCAAAGCAGTTGCTGCATTCAACCACACATGACCCCAATCAAACTATCCAGCTGTCCATAAAGCGAAAGGCGTCGCTAGGCCAAAGGCGCTGTGCGGCCAGGGCCCAGCGAACGCGCAGAAGCAGAGCCTGCCAACTGCTCATGTCTAACTTGCTCTCGCAAAGGAGCCATGCCTCTCTTCGTTGTTTCTTGCAGAAAAGCTGGCAAAGAAGTGCCTGAGGGGTAGCCGTCCAGAAAGCCTGCTTCTCCCACGTAGGTCTGAAATCCCTAGTCGGTCACATCCTGGTCTTGCACCCACGACCTGACCTCCCATGCCACAGATTTGAGTTCAATGCTATAAATACATTGTCACCACTGTGCAGTCATGATTTCAAGTTGCTGTGGTTAAAGCAGAGCATAGTCCCCCACGGGACCTTGTCCACTCATTTGGAGAGAAGAAGAGACAAGTTGCACATGATGAGACATGTCCAAGCGCACAGTGAAGAGCACTCGGCAGATTGATCGGGTCAGCTAGACTGCACCATCTACACCTTAATATGTTCTAATCAGTCCACGGCCCACGTCTAGCGACCCTGCCCCCCGAATTTCAGACCCGTTATAAGCTGAGAAAGCCCAGCCCAAAGCACCTTGGTAGCCCAATCTTCAAACTCGTCCATCTGCATGAAGACTTTCGACACGGCCAAACGGTTCCAGTGTCTGCGCATCTCGAACCGAGAATGTTCTAGCTACCAAACCGGAGAAGCTTCTGGCTGGAGGAGGAGCTTCTGGGAAACTGCAGCAATAGCTATTCTTGCTGGGGCAACTCGCAGGACACTATAGTATGATGTGGTCCCATCATTGGAGGAAGGACAGACTACTGGATTTGAAATGGTGCAGACTGCGCCCAATGCGTAATCAGGCGTAATCATAATCTACTTGAGGCCTCGGCAAGGCAGACACACGCAGACACACACACGCACACACATCCTCAATCATCGGATCGTGAAGAGCCCGGAGTCTTGACAATGAGGATCGCAAAGTGCCACGTTGCTTGGCCTAAAGATTCACATATTCGACAAGCTGCTCAAGACCTGAACAGCAAATACTTGTTGGATTTAAGTCGAGCAGTTCCGGGATTTTTAGACTTCAGATCGTGGCCTGTGAGCTCGGCGGCGGCACGCACGAACATCTAGCCACCAGGGGAGGCGGTCCTGTGTTCAACTCAGGTCAAGAAGTCTGAAATGGTTTCAGTAGCTAGCCAGGGCCTGCGTCGAGATCTTCAGCTGCGGATCATGGTCGAACATGTCTGAATCGCACTCTACAAGTCTCAAAGCCTGAACCAGGTCCTGCGTTCGGGTGAGCTGCATTGAGCGAAGCAGCACGTTGACTTCCCTTGCCTGCCCGTAGATGCGCAGATTTGGGCAGGGGTCTGGCCCTCAAGACCCCCAGCCATCCCAGTCCCACTCTTCAACATTTCACAACGTCCTGACAGATCCTGCGCTTCTCTACCTAGTGCACCGTGGGCTTTCGTGCGACGACCACCTCCGCTGCTCTAATGCGCTGGCAGTCGAAACGAATGGCCATGATGCCACGAAACGTACCCTGAACCTCGCCTGAAACCGCCTTAGATCCAAGTGTTCGACATAGCTGGTTAGACCAGCACAAGTCTCTTGGCTCTTGACCAAATTCTCCCTGAAGCCTGCAGCCTTTCCCGAAATCCTACATACGGCCAAGAAGAACCGTGGACCGAAAAGCATTCAGGGAAGGGGTGAGCCCTATTCTCATTAGCCCAACTGTTAAGGTAAGGCTGTTACGGGCAACGGTTTTGTGTTGAATTCGCCCACACAAGGAAAAACGACGCAACAAAAACCACAAACTTTAGGTACAGTGGAAACCCACGTTTTTGCAACGTGAAACCACGAAAACATCGGCATGCGCAGTGTTTTCTGCCTGCGAACCACCAGCAAAACGAGACACGAAAAAAAGGCGCGCAGAATCGTCGAAAATACCGCGCCTGCCATGCTTACCACAAATCGACCTCTGAAACTTGCACTTTTAATGGGCTAAAACCACGTTTAAAATCTTGCTCCCGTTGTGGCAAACCGCTTAAGCGTGAAAAAAACGCACGAAGCTTAACGGTTAACGCCCCGTGGGGTTGTTTGTGATGAGGCCTGGAAGTCCTCCGCACTGTTCAAGAAGCGCAGAAGCTGCTCTGCTGCCTCCGCTCTGCCCGAATGTCAAACAAAAACATGTCCTAGAACCCATGGAGAAACCAGGCAGGCTGTGAAGAAGACGTAGGCAGGAAATTGCCTGGGAGGAATAATGAATTGTCAGCAACTGGCCATTGGAGTTTGTGGCCGAAGTGGCCAGGGCAGCACTTGCTCCAACTTGCGTGTGTCAGGATGTGTCAGGTACTGCTGGTGTCATGGAAAACCAGAATCCCGACTGGAACTGGTCCAAGTCCATGACACACATTGCGCATCAATGACAACTTACCGAGCACAAATCTCATCCTGGTGATGATGCTAGTGACTGATTTGCGCGCTTGCTGAGTAAAAGCCGGACAAGCATGCACAGAACGCCCTTTCAACTCAGGCACCCTGAGCAAAAAGCGTCCCCACCCTAAACTCTCTCATGCATGTGCAGGTGCCTGAAGCTGAAACCCCAGCTCTGCACCTTGAAGTCGGGTCGCGTTATCCATGCTATCCCAGTTCTCAAGGACTAAATTTACTGCACACAGCTGGGCCCTTAAGCTCTTGCATGTCTCTCTATATCTTCAACGGCTTTCACACATGTGAGATGCTGCTGGAGAAGGACGCGTTGGCATGTGTCGCTGTTGGCATTGGCAGAATTGGCAAACCCATCAGTGGGTATGCTCTTAGCATTCATGTCACCATGTCTTCACTGCAGATCGACCAGGTGCCACACTCTCCCGGACTGGCCCGACAAAGTCCAGCAGCGATTCATTCACAGACTCTTTGCACCCGATACACCTCAGGGCAAACAGTTGCCCGGCCCGTCGGAAGAATGACCCACGCAGCCACAGGAATCAACCTCACTCGAGCGAAACTTCGAGAGGCCCAATGAGTACAGACTGCGGTCACTGGTGTCGCCGATGGCGACATTACATTCTTTGACAAGATTCTGAAGCATGCACACTGTAACAGGCGATGGTTTCTGTGCCTCGACAGTTGCAAAGCCTCGACCTTAAGTGGCTTTACAAACGACCCAAGCGCCCTCTGGCACCTCAAAGCCAAACAGCAGTCCTGCAGCCAACTCTGGCCAGCCAGGAGGTGCCTCGGTGCCAAAGGCACATGGACATCATGACTGGCCTGACGGTCTACGACGATAGCGTAGGTCTTTCCATTTCCAGTGTGCGGCTGAGCTTTCAATGCTGCTTAGTGCGGCTCCGCCCCGCCCCCTCTCCCACATAGGTAACCCAATTTGTTTTCGGGAGTCTCTGGCAGCTACGGTCGACATTGCGTGTCGCGCTTTCGGGCTTTTAAACGGCCATCTCTCCAAGTTTGTGGATGATGCCCGAAGATTCCGTGGGATCATGTCAATGTGATCCTGCTCAGTATAATTTCGGAAATTTTACCACAATTCTGCGGGGTCAGAGTAATCAGCATTTATCATGAGGATCATTAGGACCTCCAGGGCCCGAAAACCTTGCGCTTCTAGCCTGAGAAACGTTGACACGAGCAGGCGGACAGCGCGTCGCCGCGAGGCACGACAGCTGAAACAAACAACTCTAAACTGTGGTAAAGCCCTGTGCCAGCCCTTTCGCTGCCCTGCGAAAACCTTGAACCGCGGCATTTGTCCATCCTTTTGGGGCCCGTGCAGGGCACCACGGAGGTGCTCCGCCTCTGTGAGGCCCAAGGCTACGAAGAACCGCCCCTCACAGGGTTGCGACATGAGGGGTCGGGGCAAGGTGCAGAAGCAGAAATATTTCAAGGTCGCGATTGCACATTCTGGCATGATGTGGCCTCCTGCATACGAAAGAAGTCCTGCGTCCCCAAAGCCCGTTCAAGCTCGGCCAGGGTCACTCGGCCTGAAGGAAGGGACGCTTGCAGGAAACACAGCTTGCAGGAAACACAGCTGCATACATCTGATTATCAGAATTGTCAAAATACTTGCGTCATGTCAGTCTGCTGGTCGTTGCTTTGTTTGGATTCGCCCCAGCCCAGGCTTGAGGCCTGCCCGAATGGAGTAGCCTGTGCTGTGGGGCTCCACAGTGCAACTGTGGATATATCAACAATGATGCCTTCGGCCCAGGCCCCAAGTCCCGGCAGCGCAAGCAAACATTAGCCCCCAGTCTTCCTTGTGCGTGTCCAACCTGCTGCGACGCAACATTGGTGAACAAGTCCGATAGCCATTCGCAAGCGCTTTCCACATGCCAGCTCCAGCCCATTGCAAGCATTCAGAGACCCTCCCCCAAGGCAGCAAGCGTTGGCTGTCGAAGGTGTTCCAGCACGACTCGTCGATTTCGAAGGCGTTCTATCGATATCCAAGGTTGACATCCGACCAATTTTGTTCCATGCGAGGGCTGCCGATCCAATCAAAAGCTTCAGAGTTTCCTGGAAAACCCGAAACTTTCAAGCCATCCGCTATCGAGGGCCATTTGAAATCCTGTACGACATGCAGATGACCCAGCTGCAGTGTGCCCAAGTAAAGCTCTTCTCTAGGAGTGTTTTCCTACACGGAGCCTGAGAGAGCATCCTGAGTTCGACAAGTTGTACAAACCCTGCAGACGTGGTTCATATTGGATCATGTCATTGTTGGCTTTTCCGGCTTTGCCAGGCCAGCGAATTGTTGATCGGAGCCCCTTTGCTTAGACTCAAACCCCACAGTCTCTGAGACAGCGAATGGCGAATGCTGCAGGTGCTTCCAGCTCTTCGGCCACAAGACCAAGCCCAGGGCTGCCTGTGGGCATTCGCGCCTCAGCGCAAGAACAAACGCTGCAAGTCTAGCCAACAAAAACAAGCTAGCCAAGAAGCACACAAGCAAATACGTTCCCCACTTCCAAAACACAAGGCTCGCCGCGAATCTACCCCAGATCAACAGATGTTCTATGACGAGCCAACAAGCAGAAAAATGAGCCCGCATGACTCTCCACCATTCTCCACCACAGTGGGCGCAATCAAAAGTCATGAAGGTTCTCTACATTACCCTGTGCGATGGCAATAAGATGGTGCAAGCATGGGGTTGCTACGATTGAAGCGCTGACATTGTCAGTCGCCTTTAAAACCACTCTCAGGTTCTCATCCCTCAACTCCCTCAACTCCCTCAACTCCCTCGACCCACAAAAGCGTCCAGGAACCAGGGCCATGACGATGTAAGCCTCACCCTCGTTGGTAAGGTCAAGCACTTCGCAAAGGGCCCGCACCTGGCAGGTCAAAGAACTTCACTAGGAACTATGTGACTTTTGTGGGTTCGGAAGGGTGTGGGGACGCCTCGCAGTGCTGTTGTGTCAGAAGAGGCTCATTAAAGCCTTCAATCCTGGACCATATACCCCCCCTTTCTCTTGTATACGGTGCAATGCTGGCCGCATCGAGAAGCATGTCCGTTCTGATGCCGACACATCCATGGCCCAGCATGATGAAGTTGCCCCAGCACTCTTTTCGAACCAATACAGGCCCACTCCGCCTCTTCTTGGCCGAAGCCCGCAGAGCCTCGATCAATTTATGCAGCTGAGCCGCTTGTATAGCTCAGGAAGGCTCAGAATGCTCGAGAGGTTGAGAACGGGGCTCCGGCTAAGACTAAGAAGACTAAGTAAGACACACGGCACAACGTCTCCAACAATGAAACAGGTACTCAAGTACTCAGCACTAGTACTGTAGCATCCTGAATGCTTGCCCGCGCATAAACTACCAGCTTCCAGGTGCCGATCCTTTGTGCCCAACTCGTTTTCTTCCGGCTGCTGTCTGAAGATGTGCGGAAGTCAAAATTACATTCGAACTGGTGTTGCATTGGGACGGCCCCTATTGCCAAAAGCAGTTTCTATTCTTGAGCTCCTGTCCCCCACTGTTTGGTTTGATCAGCACCCACATGGCACTGTAGCATCGCAAGCGTGTCCTAAAATTGCAACCAAATGAATCAGTTAAGTCTTGTAGTTTTGAACTCGAGAAACCCAGAAGCAGCTCTGACCCCCATGGCTGAGTCGCGGGCAATCCTCTCGGCTGCCGCTGCATAACTCCAATGCCTCCCCTGGCAAGGAGAGGTCCTAAACCTGGTAAGATTAGTAAGATGGCACTTAAATGAGCTTTTGCTTGCACCGGCTCCTAAGGTTGACTCGACGATTCAAGCGATTAGTCTTAGGGACACAAGCTTTTGTGAAGATCTTCCCTCACCGGCAGGTATTTCCTCGCCATCCCAAGCTCGGCGCCCGGCTTAAGCGGAAGCGTTGCTCTTGCGACAGGGCCGACGGAGACACCTTGGTACAACTTGGTACCCGTCATTATACTGTCATTACCCATCCTCCTTGTGCTGCAGACTTCTCGTCGAGAAATTACATTGCAACGTATCATTACGTCCTGTCGGTTCCAAAGGTCTCCAGTCTCCAGGAGCTGTCATGAAAGAATGCGGCGATGTGAGACCGGAACATGTGCTACAGCAACTCCTACGCCATTGGCTTGAAACGCCCACTGCTTCACGACTGTTCTTGGAGCGACATGACCGGTTACGATCAATCACGCTTGGGCCTTGCTTACGCGAAAGCATGGTGTGGCTTCTTTGTTGATACGAATCATGGACAGTCTGGCTTGAAGAAGACAACAGAGGCCTTCAGAACCCGGGCCACCGGCAGTGAAACGCTTCAGTCGTCCAGCGGAAGGAACCTGCTACAAATGATTTCATGTTTCCGATCTGTTTGCTCTGAGCTCATGAACTCTGAGAAGAAGCTGCTTCCGGCTTGGCGACAAAGCAATACAAAGTACGCTGCCGCTGGGCTGGTGGCCCACTCCAGGAAGCAAGCCACGTTTCGAAGCCTGGCCAACTAGTCCCTTTTTCGACTCCGTTCTTGAGGACCCGATGCCTCTAACGTCTCAACATGGACATGTTGTTTCCGTTCGCTTCAGCCTGCAGCCCATAAATGCCTACACGTGAACATCCACGACGTGTCCCTATAAGTGCCCGAAGAGTCCTAAACTGTCCTAAACCGAAGCTCGAGTCCTATCATGCGCCTCTGAGCATGGCCCTCGGCCAAACACATTGGGATCTTAGGGGCCAGACCGCAGTGGCTTCCGCATCTCAGTTGGAGCTTCTAGCTGCTTTTAGCCACTTAGGGCATCTGCTCCCAGGTGCATGTCATGCGAGGCTGGGTCAGTGAGCGTGGTGCAACATTCAGCCAGGCAGTTGCAGCTCTGCTTCTGCATGCCCCCACTAGACAGCAGCCTCCGAACAGAAGTCAGACGCCAACTTCTGCGGTAGTGGTTCTCGCTGATCATGACCTGGAGTCTGGGAGTACGTAGTCCCAAGAAATGGCAGGTTCTTCGCAGAAAGTAACTCGCAGTCTTCTTTCAGCCTAAAGTTTCGGGACACGAGCCTGGTAGCCTCAAGCCGGCACATGTTCAAGCAGCAGGTCCGTCCATACCAGTGGGACTGTCGAGCTGCTTGTCTAGGAAGACGTTGACAAAATTTGACAAATTTCCCGAGCACAGAACCCCAAGCCTGAACCAAAGCAGGACCTGAACCAACTTCCAGCGCTAACCTATGCATGTGGTCGCAAGACACATGCATCGTCCGTGCTTTTCGGGACAGTAGTCGCTTGGGAGCCAGCAAAGCCAGGCAATCCCTCCAAAGCAGGGCTGGACTCATTGAGGATCCTGGCTTGGGCGGGCAAGCGAGAGGGGGAAGGAGGCAACAGGCCGGGTGAAGGAGAGGTCGGATCTATGCCGAACCCAAAGCGGTTTGCTCGCCAAAATGCATGAAAGGCCCGAAACCCAGCTCAAGCTTGGTTACTTCAGAAGAGGTAGCTTCGCAATTCAAGGTCCTCCTACATTGGTCATGCAAGCTCCGGCGTGGAACACTGCAGTTGAAGCCTTCCCGTCGGAAGCTATCGGAAAGAATAGGGCAAGGCAAGAGTACAAGCCGCGCTCTGGGTTAAGAGTGAAGAGAGTTTGCTCGAGGAAGGAAGGTCTTTGATGACAGTGAGCCTGATGAGCAAGCAAGCAAGGTCTTGCCAGCAGTGATCAAGGAGCTCGACTGACGGTTGTCATCTCCAGACATCTCCTTTCGTTATCAAAGCAACTCGTGGGAAGGAACACAAAATTTAAAATACTTGCCTAGTTGAAAATCAGCAGGCCTTCCGCAGGCCCTTGCGTCTCAATCCCCCAAAACCGGAGCATGGCTGGCCCCTTGTTGACCGCGAAGTCCGCAAGTGGGTAGAAAGGAAGGGCAGCTGACCTCGTTACGCACATCCCTAAACTCTAGGTCCGTTTGTTGCAACAGGTCTCTTGCAGCCAGTCGGGAAAGTTGTGCTTCGGCTTGGAAATTGGCATGTCAAGGCTTTTGGGCCCGGGCTAGCGGCTAGCCTGCTCATTTAATCTTCGTCCATTTTAGTTCTGAGACTCGATGCCCGAAGTCTGGGTGAACACGTTTGTCGGACAACCACATTGCACCGAAATTGAAAAGCAAGATGAGGCCGGCACTTCCCGACGAGCCCTCGCACGGGCCAAGGCGTGGCCTTCCCGGAAACAGAATCCAAACCCTCGGTCCTCAGCCTTGCTAGGACCTCCTCGGACCGGCACCGTTTTTCGCCCAATCATGTCTTTGCTTCTTTAGGTTCTCACAAACCCACAATCTCCGTTCAATCTCCACCTCCAAGACTCCTTCCGTCTGCACAAGCTCTGCCAACCGACCCGACAATGTTTACCGTTGTTTTTGCCCCCCTCCCTTCCTCGCCTCCTCGGACTCCTTGGCATACCTTAGCTGGCCAATGCTGGCCAGTACGCCAAAAAATATTAAAGTCGAAGCTCGAAGCTGCAACCCCTGGGACAACAAAAAGCAGTCTAGCCAGTCTAACAACCGAAGAAAAAGCGGATTCTAGTGGCCGACGTTGGTGCTTCTGCGGCGCCGGTGCCTCCGGAAGTCGGTCCAGCTCCTCCTCCTGCTCGGCCTGGCTACGCACTCGGTTGAGCCAACAAGTTGCATGGGTTGCTACTGCACCGGAATTGTTTTTTGTTAGTGTTTTGGATCATTTCGTCATTATGGCGCGTGGCTTTGGAACTGAAACAGACGCATTTCTATGCCCTGAACAGAAAAAATCACCGACAGGCCTCCTGCTCATGGTCCTGGCATGACAAAGGTTTGGGGCCATGAATGGACGATTCAACGGCATCAAAGGTACGCATGCGCATATCAGACACTACGGGGCTGCTGAAGCCGAGCGCAAAAGGGCGTAGATCAACCCAAGCCATGTGTCCTAATTTGCAGCCACGAGACTTGTGAGCCTGGCGCTCGAGGAGTGGCATGGGTGTCCAAAACAGCGACGTCCAGACTTATCGTTGACGGATGTTGATATTATGTGATGTGATAGGGCAGCTTCCATCATTTTGCACCAATCTCCTCCTCCACTTCTTCTTCGTGCTCTTGCTCTTGTTCTTGCACTTGCTCCTGGGCGGCCACATTGACATAGATGAAGTGGTGGCCAGGACGAACTGCGTAGTTGTCTCTGACAAAGAAAATCAGAGGTGTGCTGATCGCTGTGTCCTCTATGATGTTTAAGACACGCCTCGGACTCTTGGCACATGCGTTTCAGCAAAGTATTCGTGTTCTGATTCTGTCAGTCCTGAACAACAGTGAAACGACATCTTAACGTTCACCAACACACACTCACACACGCACACACACTCTCTCTCACACACACACATCCCAAACCCGAAATTGTGAGGCCCTCACTCGGCTGAGCGCATGGTCGGCATCCTCCTTCTGCACGGGCCGCAGCGCAAGATTGCACAAACAGATTTCTTGGGGGCCCTTCCTGCCACCTCTAAGGACAGCCCAATTTTAGTTGCTAGCGATTGTTACGGTAAGGCTCTCTCAGTCAAGGTTTCGGCTGACGACATGAAGACCCAAGTCCAGTCCTCCCAGGGCGCGTGGGATGCTTCGAACCTTGGGCCCGAAGATGCCCTGATGCCCTGTGATCCAAGCCTTTGAAAAGACCATCAAAGGAGCCCTGAAAGACCCTCTGCATCCATCGAAGCTGAAAACACTCAACCGGCTCAATGAGCAAATCCAGGTGAAGTCTCGGCACTCAACCCTGCTTGCAGTCGCATATTTGTCCCAACTTTCGACTTTTTGGCTAGAGCTGTCAGGAGCTTTCTCGCCGTATGTTTGCGCTCTTTGGTGCCGCTGGATGGGAATCTGTCCTGCAGCAGCTGCAACTTGAGAAGCACATTCTGCTTGACCGCTTGCATGCGAGATTGCAAAGCTCCAGATGATCAGGAAGTGGGATCGCACTGTCGTACAGTAAGAACCCATGGAGTCCCTCTTCGAGCCGGCAAACTTGTGAGTAGTTCTGTTCTGTTAGGCCCCGTTAAACTGTTAGGCTGTCTGCTTGCACAGCTACGAAGAACAATAAGATCAAGAAGGACAGAAGTGCCAACACGTCAGCGCAACACGATTGAAAGACGCTCAAACAGCAGGACACCACAAAGCATGCGCCGCAGACACCATGATGATACGCGAATGCACACTCAAAATTCTGCAGATCTGCTCCAAAGCTATGATCTGAGTAAACCTTCAACATGAGTTGCTGCCCCCCTGCTCAGTATACCTCAGCACTGAACAAGCATGTTCAGGCATTCAAACCATTTTTGGTGGAGGTGTCTGTTCTCAAGTAGTACTCACCGCAAAACTTTCAACAGGCACCTGCCCGAGGAGACATAGCCACCACGGATCACCCAATCCACCACCCTCAGCATCTTCAAACCCCAATAGATGCCTCGGGCTCTCGAGCTGGAGCCTTCTGGCACGCTCCTCCTTGGTGGACTTTACTTCCGCACTACGGTTCTCACTCCCTGGTGGACTACTGGATCTGGCAGGAAGGCGTGACCAACACACTTTGTTTCCCAGTTGGTTAGCGTGTTGAGACACCGCCACTACAGAATACTCTACAGCGACTCTATCCAGTATACTCCAACTGCAAACCGAGGAACGGCAACGTACCGGTCTTTGCGCGCATACCATCTTGACAGGCCCTGCGCCTGTAACAAAGCTTCTTGAAATGTTCGGCATCCAAAAGCCCAGGGGCGCTGCAGAATTCGGGGTTGTGGGAACTGGAACTGGCTTGGGCAGGCTTCCTTAGGTTGTTCCTGCCATGCCTGGAGGCCCGTGGTGCTCTCGAAAAACGACTCATGGTTCGACGTCACCATCGTGTGGACCGCGCGAATCTCATCTACACTCCTCAGGTTTCCAAGAGCATGGGTTTTTGGCGCAAGGCAGCTAGCTTCCGGCTGCGGGCTCAACAAGCCTCCTGCCCCGTCGCTTGGCAATTCATGTCGAACTTGAAGCATACATGAAGCCATGCCAGAGTAGGCTCCCCAAAACAACCCAGAAGAACCTATTCACATGTTCAGGTCGAAGGTAACAATCCTCTGATACGACGCCGAGGGCAACATTTGAAGCTACATCGTGCACGAAAGAGTGGGATGCTGTGATTGGAAGAAACTCTGCTGCACTCTGCTGCACCCACCGCACCCAACCTTGAACCTGTGACATCAAAGCGACAGGTAGTGGAAAGTCAATGGTGGCGGATAGGGCGAAAGCAGGGCCTGCTGAAGCCTGCGGCGTAGCACGTTTCAGTGGCTTAGGCGCTTCAAGACGGTTCTGCCTCCATGCTTCGACATCTGCTTCTCACAAACACCGAACAGTACGAAAGGCCGATTCCCGAAAACAAACGTGCAGCCTATGTCCGCTCCTCCTGCTCTTGTGGATTGCTCAGGGTTACAGCAGGATCTGTTGAACAAGGCAGCGTGGAGAAGGCAAGTTGCCTGGACAAATGACAAGACGACCTTAGGGGTTCGAGCTTCGGGGTAGGACCCTGGAACCTTGAAATGCAGAAAAGGCAAACAACAACAAACACCAGCTCAAGAACAATTGCTCAACAACAACAGCCCAACGCCACAGTTCGACGACAACTGTTCCCAAGAGTTGAAGAACAGCTCAGCCCGATAACAAAAGTGGAGAACAAAGAGAAAGACCAAGAGAATGAACATGCAAAAAAGCACACGCTTACCCTAAGCCAATGCTAGACGTCTTCAGAACATATGGCGTTTGCAAGGCGGGCACTGGGGTGCTGACTCTTCGGCGTCCAAATGCCACCCATGCAGGCCAGGCAAATCCTTTCAGGTGTATATGAGGATTCGAGAGGGTGAAAAGTTTTATAGGTTCAAGCAGTTGAAGATGTGGGCTAGCGGCTGGATGTAACTTGAAGTACTAGCTACAAGTACAAATAGACTCTTTACTGTACAGCCTCAAGTTTACAGCGAAGAAGCTAATTAGCGTGTCACACATCACACGTGCTCGAGCATGGGTGGACTCATATTCCAACAGCTGTCCAGGTTGTCCATCACATTCATTCCCTCGTTGTTTCGAACATCCGTGCGTATTCCTTCATATGTCCTCCCCATTGTACACGAGACTAAACGCAGGTCTGATCATTAACGTTTGAGTCCGCACGGGTCTCCGTCGAAGCCCCTCATGATCTTATGGGTGGGATCCAGGTGTTCTGTTGTTTTCGCCTCGAGTCCTCGAGTCTGTCGCAGGCCGTCCACTCATGCTGTGAAATGCTCTTGGCTGATGCCAGCGTGGCTCTGCAACTTCCCTCAAGATCTTCTCTCTAGGCCAAGGCGCATGTACGGGAACATGGTGTGCTGCCGCAACTCGGCAGTTCGACACGTCGCCCCACATGCCGCAGGCCTTGGCCTGCGCAGCACGATGGGACGTTCAGAAGTTTTGGGCTGGTCATTTAAGCTTGTCGGAGCTTTTAGGAATTGTTAATTTCGGCTTCTCTGGGTACCGGTCTGGATGAATCTGGCTTGACCCTGAGAGCTTTGGTTGCTTAACGTACCGCAGGCAATCTCCGCTCGTGCGGCCTGCGCTCCTCTGGTCTACATCGCCGTCCAAGCTGGCTTGCATCGCACTGCAGAACTCCAAGCTGTTCCGATGTTGTGAGGTGGAACCGGCATCTATTTGAGAGGCTTCCTTGATCTTGCTCGTATAATGCTTCGCTGCTTGCTGTATGCTGCTTTGACACCGAGACACGCCTACTTCATGCATGAGCTGGCCTCCCGCAAAGATTCCTTCATGTAGGACGCTCGCCCGTGTCCAACCATCCTCAGCGAAGGCAGAGCGGCAGAGCTGAAAACTCGGAACCTAATAAGTTTCTCATAGTTTCTCGCCAGCTCGCAAGGATGCAGTCAAGCTGCTTTTCCAAAGCGGCGCGGCTAAAGATCTGACCTCCGCCTTACAGAGCCGCTGGGCTGCGCACTCGATTCATTCCCGTGGACTTAGCAATGCGACGTGGAGGGCACGATAACTTCCTCAGCGAAACCCTACCCTTTACTTGGACGGTGGGACACAGGTTGGCAAAGCAATTCAGTCACTCTAATAGTCTCAGAATCCCTCGCACCGGAATATCTTTGTGCAACTGCATTTGGCTCCCAACGCCTCCGCAAAGGCCACCAGCAGAACATCGCCCGCAGCCACGGATGCCCAGGACCTGTGAAAAGGAGAACCCATTCCGGATGGTAATCTTGGGGAGGCCTCGAATCCAACAGAATCCAATAGAATGGGGGCCTCGGCAAAAGTTGCAGTTCTGGAGCCGAAGGCATGAACAAGTGGCCGGTTGCAGACTTAAGCTTCGAGACCCTACAGACCTCCAAGAAGTTTTTGAATACTTACTACGAAGGAGGGGGGGGGGGTTGTGGTTTGCTAAGAGCCTTGACCAGCCTAGGGTGTAGCCCAAGTCGCCAAGACTAGGATGTTTTGGGCAAGCTAACTAGTGGTATTTTGCATTCAGGCGGAAAGCCCGTCATTTGGATTTTCTCCATGTTTTCTCGTACTACGGAAGTCGGAAGTCTCGGCTGCTGCCACCTCCGGAGTGGAAGCTCTCCGCGCCGCCAGCGCCGCCTTGCCAGGTACGCGGCCTATAGTGAGACAACTTACATAGGAAGACGGCTGCACTCAACCCATCTCCCCATGCCCCTGCAGAGCCTCAACGTTCTGGGGCAAGGCATAGTTGTCCTTGTGTGACAAGCTACAAACCATTCCTCGCCTGCTGGAGAGACACGACATGCCCTGGCACACATTGCCACTTCCCGCAAATCACGCATACTACTCCCGCCAGGCCAAGCCTAAATTGAGTTCGTCAGCAAGGGAAGCATTTGGGAAGGAACTTAGGTCAGAACTCCACATTCACCACTGGTACATACTTCGCCCTCGCACCCCGACTATTCAGGACTGCTGAATCCAACCAAGCATCTGTGCCCAGGAGCATGACCTGCGCAACAGCGGGTCTATTCAAAGAGTCTATTCCATTTCACAAACCGATATAGCAAATCCAAAACGGCTGAACTCCAACGACCGCCCTGCAGCTCCATCGCAAAAAACCTCGCCAAACCCTGAACCACGATACGCCCAAAACAATTTATAGCTACATCTTTTTTTAAGTTCCTGCAGAACTGGGGAGGAGCCAAAGAAGCTCGTGCTTAGCTGAGCAAACCTCGGAAAGCACCGGAACTTGCTCGCATCAGAAACAAGTGCGATACGTGTTGTCAAGATAACTCCTGCAAACCAACCTTTTTACCTTGTGGACCTGCTCAACAAAGCATGATCGCCCGGTCAACTTCTTCTACACAGCCACAAAATATCCAAAATGGGTAGCACTCCAAGTGAAGGTCTACGTCGGATTCCTTGAGCACGCTGTCTACGGTCTGCCTCCTCATGCACACCCGAACTGCCGGCACCTAAAACAACTGTTGAAGATCATACACGGTCTCACCCGGTAATGGACAAGTTGCCCAGTCGAATCCTTTCTGCCAGGCGTTTGCAAGCGCTGTGAAGTCCTGCGCTCCGAGCGTTCTTTGGTGAAGACCCCCCGCGAGGTAGCTTCAGCGAGCCAAAAGGGTGCATGTTCAACTACTCATCTATGAGGCCATCCAGGACCCACTTGCAAGGTGCGGGGGCGGGGGGCCCCCGGAAATTCAAGTGGCTTCTGAGGATCCATGGTCATGTCCAAGTTGGGCCGTGCTCTCCGACGTATCTCGTTTAACAAAGCATCAATTCACCAAGTTGTGGGTTTTCTTGTTATACAAGCTTGGAGATGAACATAGACAAGGAGGAGAAGAGATACCTGTGCGTTTCAGGTCCGAGGCTGTAGGCTTCTTTCCCACGCAATTTCAGTGTTCAGACGAATGGGGACAGTGGACGCAGATCCTTGCAGGCGCCCCCGGAGTGCGTGTCGGGACAGGTGGACTTGTCCCAGAGCCTCAGGGAACTTTTGGATCTCAAACGAGCCCTGTTTGGGCACCCCGTCCTCAAGAACAGGCAAACACACTGTATCTCTCAACCGGACGGAGCATGCTGCGAAAAGCTCTAATGAACAGGATACTGGAGACTCTTGCTCGGTTTTCGGCAAGAATCATCTGCAAGCGCTTTGTTGGTTCAGGCTTGGAGTTCAGACGAGGCGCACCCCATGCATCTCCCAGTTCTTCGGCTGGTTCATGCCGATCACCTGGCCATTGAGCCAAGAACCCCTAGCTCCAGTGCGAGCCCTCTGTGCCGTAAGCCGTAAGGTCCTGCAAGTTGACCCATATTAAGTGAGCCCACTTCTCTGCTTCAGTTTTGAGTTTTGAGCCCACTTCTCCGCTTCAGTTTGGCATGTTACATAAATCTCATCGGCCAGAAAGGCTTTGCTACGGAGATAAATCTCCCCACCTGCAGTTGCCCTGGCGGCACCACCGAGGCCCAGGTCTCAGCAGCGGCACGCACTGCCGCGAGATTGTGCCTGGGCTCCAATTTGTACACGGTCATTGCGTTCTCATGTGGTTTTCATCGAGAGCTTGGGCGCGCAGGAAATCGCCTGATTGTCAGGTGCTGCTTTACAACCTGCATGCCAGTGCTCATATATAGGTCGCCAAACGTTATTCCGAAGGCAAGGTACGCGGCTGTCTGGATGCTGTAGAGGATGTGGACTCCCTCCCCGCCAACCAATTCCACTGAAGGGTCGGCATCCCTAACATCGTCATCTGGCTCCTCGTACGCTGCAGGAGCGGATGCGTTCAGATGCATTCGGGGTTTGGGCATGCAAATGATGCTCAAACACGGTGTCGGAGCTGTTTATGGCACAGCGATCAGAATGGACATAGGGAGTGTCAGGCCCATACTCAGAACTGCAAAACAATGCAATATTGCTTTCTGAAGGGCGTCGGCATCAACTTGCAGATCATCCTGATCATCCTGATCACAGGCAGGGTCTGGCCTTGACTGCACCTTTGCTTCTGATCTTCCTGAACACCTGCCTGGCTTTCCCGCACGATTGCCCATGCGATAGGCAATGGCAGCAGAAAGGACCAAAGACGAAATAAATACCTCGAGCTGTTGAGCAAAGCGGTCTCGATTCTCTGGATGTGTGGTAGTTGAGGGCTTTAGGGACTTTAGGGCTTTGAAAAGAAAAGGGGGGTCAGGCAGGAGAGGAGGAGGGCCGGTGGCTAAAGACGAGGCCAGGGACGCGCTTGCAGGTGACAATGTGGTTACAACCCCCCTTCCTTCTTTCAGCTACATGATTTTCTCATCTACTTTCGACACAAGCGCATTCTACATTCCAGGCGGTTTTAAAGGTTCGCGGCTGGCTTTCATTTCGGCCGCTTCCTCCCGGCCCTATCCTCCCTGAACTTACGCGGCATCCGAGGAGCATGTAATCACCCAAGCGGGGTGAAAGGTCTCCTGGACTTAGGCCTCAGGCATCGAGCAGGCGAATGACTTGAACGGAGAATGCCGGTCGATTCGAAAACCGCTGTTCAGGGCACTCCTCAAAGCTACTGAGCTGCTGCACCTTACGGTGCTTTGGGAGTCCCAAACCATGATCTTGGCCGACTCGTGGCACCTCTTTTGAGCCCCAACCCCTTTGCATCAGTTTCAAAAGGGAGATTCGAAAGAGCAGTTGGAGTGATAAGGGGAGACTGTTTGTTGCTCGTTTTTTGAGGAGGCTTGGCCTGATTCAGCATGGTCGAAGCAAGACCCCTTTCAAAATCTCAACCCTCTGTAACATCCCACAGCGACGCACCTCCATGAATACGCGATGCTTTCACCTAGCTTTTATGGCCCCATGGACACATGGTAGCTGCATGCTACGAAAGACCACGGCGGCTGCAACCGAGCTGCAACTTCCGGTGTCGGAAGTACATGCTTCTGCATGGTGCTTGCTTGAGCCAGATCCAGCAAACTTGAATTCTCCTGCATAAAGCAGGCTTGAGGGGACCCTCTTCTCGAACAGATTTCGAGTCTGCCTCCTCGACACATCCTGCCCAATTGACACAGGCCAGAAAGCATGCGAATTTAGCAAGGGCCACACTCTGGTGCCTTTCGCGCCGCTACTTTCAACTCGCACCCCTGAAATCCGATGATCCCACCTGATGGCCACTTCCGGGGAGGCGGAGGGGGGGGGGGGAACAAAGGCCAAGTTACATCGGTTAGCGTAGCACCTCGGGACACAGCACGAGCACAGGGCCGCTGAGATGCCAACTGCTTCAGAATCCCCTCCGCCTCGGCACGCGCCTGACGCCAGCTTGAAACGAAAGCTCTCGGGTGCACTCAGCTGCACCTTCTCACCTTCTCACCTGCACTCCGAAATCTCTAAGAACCCGACTAGAACGTGCCTTTCTGGGCATTAGAGTATGATGGCGCAAACACTAACATAAACACCATCAAAATCGAATTGGACTGCTAGTTGGTTCCTCCCAGGCCCGACTCTTACACAGATGGCAACTCTCACTCAGTGCCTGGTCGCGCGCAGCTTCAGAGCTCCACACCTGCAACGTTTTCTCCCTTACAGCCCTGCAAACATTCTAAGGAGCTGTTAGACTTAGAGTTGCCGGCATTCGTGTGTGAGTGTGTGAAGCACACTCTACATGAGTGGACGGGTTCACTCCCAGTATTCTTCGTTTGCTAAAACTTTGTCATGCAGGGGGCAGCACCGGGGTCTCCAATCAGTCCGGTGCGAACAGAGACACTGGATATTTAGTGGGATGCCACTGGACGTACTTGCAAGTGTCGAATCTGTGAGTGTGTGAGAGTGTGGGTGGGCGTGGGCGTGGGCGTGGGCGTGGGCTGGTGGGCTGGTGGGCTGGTGGGCTGGCGGGCTGGCGGGGTGGTGGGCTGGCGGGCTGGCGGGGTGGTGGGGTGGTGGTAACGTCAGCTACAACAGTACTACGACCAGAAAACGTCGCCGAGCTCAAGCAGAAAACATCACCAACAACCGTCCGCAACCAAACAGCGCCAGTACTCCGCCGCTCACCGGGTCGTTACGCGTGCCACGCGGCGAGCACGCACGCGAACACTCATGCAAGCACGCCCAAGCACAGCCCTGCGTCATTGCATGCCACACGCAGTATGAGCCTGAGTAATTGGACGGGATGTCGAACAGGAAGCCAGGGATACAGAGAAAAGGGATGGGGCTCACAGAAACTGATGTTTTTCATGCGGGAAAGATGAGCACAGGCCCTTCTGTCGTGATATCTATTTTGACATGGGGAATTGAACAATTGCTGACATGATGTCTTTGCATAGTTTTATGGCATGATGGTTATTCGCAGTGCTGTTCCATGTGGCTCGCAATAGTGCTCTTGTTGTGCGTCTGTCTATTCCTTCTTGTACCGTTTGCAATATGACAGCTTAGCACAATCACCATTGACGGTTTTGTTCGTAGCATCCTGCTTCTTAAGCCTGTGCAGCTATAGATCCTCTTGGCAAGGCACGCACTCGCCCAGGGCACCCTTGGCGACCTTATCATGGCTCCCGATGCGGCTTGAGGCTTGAAGATAAGCTTGCTCGTCTCTGCGATCCCTATATCATTACGTAAATCGCAACTGCTGCAAGAATGGCATTTTGGGTTGAAGCAGGAACGATTCTAACAAATCGAATCGAAGTAAAGCCGACCGAGTCCGAGGCATGAAGGGCCGCTTCCTTCCTCAGACGTACCGCTGGACCTGGGTAAAGTCTCGAGGATGGCTTCGAGGTTGCTGCTGCAGGAACTTGCTTTGCATGATTATGGAAAGCAAGTATTACACAAAGGCAGGCAGTGCCCGGCATACTCAAGCCACCCCAAAGCATTTCGACCGCCATAAGATATGATGATCTACTGAACTTGCCGAACCCAGCCGCGAAGTCTGCCTATCCTCGAAGCATGTCAAAGCCGTCAGCGCTTCAGGAAGGTAAGGGAGACGAGCGATGCTAAGCTTTGCACCCTCTTGGCCTGCCGCACAAGGTCAAGGGGAAGGAAGAACTCCAGCTAACAGCGCCCGAACAAGCACGGGCTCCAGTCAGCAGGGCACCGCGCATCCCTACATACTTTACATGGGTCATTCAGGTGCAACGTTGCAACAGACAAGAGAAAACCAACGCGGCAACTGTGCGCACTGTATCTATTTATGTCCGGCTGCTTTTCTGCGGCACCGTGCCGAAGTGTCCCTATACTCCCCAACTTCGAATGTTTCGTTTAGCTGGCCTTCTCAAGGATCCAAACGACTCAAATGGCGCAGGAAGTGAACAAACAAGCAAAGCCTCCAAGCACAAGCCCTCTAGTATTGGAAATGGGGTCAGGATGCCGTTAACAGCTTCCGTCTCACCTTCTTTGCCTCTGAGTATATCAGCCCCTGTCGCCAATTAGCCTCAGACGCAAAGTGTTGAGCCGTTGATGTCTACTTGCAGCAAGTTGGCAATCCTCACCCCCTTTTGCATCAGCAGATGAATTCCTCGCCTTGGCCTGGACAACTTGCAGGCACCTGGTTAAGCTTTGAGGGATTGGGGGCTTGTACACGGACCCCTGACTCAAGGTCAACCTGGAAAAAGACGCAGGCTGAGCGACTTAGCCCTTATTCTGTACGCAAAGGAAGCAACTGCAAAAGAACCTGGGCCAAGTTTTCAAGGCCACGTTTGCTCTGGGGTGGACATCTCGATTCAATTTGATTCTGGATTCGCCTCGGCTCGGGCATTCACTATGCAGTTCCATGAATGTTGGTTCCCGAATGGCACCCACATGCCCGGAAGAAGTTTTGTTGTTCGTACCTTTTGCGCGCATCTTCGCATTTATCACTTTCCTTTCTTTCCTCAAAGCAGCATCCGTTTGCGTGTTTTGCATTTGCATTGCATCCCGGCCGGCTGACTCCAAATTGTACCCTTGGGGCTGTGCATGCGGCTGCAAAACGTAAAAACGTGCTGGGCTGCTGCCCTCGACCTCCAGCCCTGCGCGCTATAGGCAGTAGAAGGCCAATATGGCAGCCCTGGCCCCGGTGGTTTTGTTCGCCACAAGAAGGTCATGAGGTCTGCTTGTGTTCGCTCTCAGAAATGGCATCGGGTTAGCGCTTCCGTCGGCTTTTCTTTTCCGCATTCCTGCTGTTGAATGCTTTTTCGTTTGATTCCGTGGGCCAGGACCAGTGAGACCTAGCCTCCTCACTTTGCTCGTAGTTCAAGCTCCCCGGCTGAGGCCAGGCAACGTACCCTCACCCTCTCCAAACATCACCCCGACATCCACGTGAGACGATGTGCTCCGTAATCAGCTTCGAGAGGGAACTAAATTATGTTCCCTTTCAACTCACGTCCAGTTCACAAACCACGGCCAGGTGGTCTAGAATGAGTCTACAAGTTGAATGCAACCTTTCTCGGCCAAGTCGGCACCTCCATCAGGATCACGCGCAGGAGCTGAGCCACCAGGCATCACCAGGCCCCGGAAAAACTTAATCATTATCCAGCCACCTTTGTACAAGCATCATTCCAATAGTCAGGCACTGGCCGGGGCCCTCACAGTGAAATCAAGGTCGCTGACGACCTCCGCCAGCGCAAGCTTCGTGCGAGCCTGTGGATAGCTCTGACCGCCCCTGAGCCCCAGCTGGAGAGGCCCTAGCCTTGTACGTCTTGTACTTAGGCTTGGACCCTTTACACCCCGTTCTCAGCCGAAAACCCAAAGCCTGCGGCCCTACGGGATCTTAACCCCGAAAGCATGTGCCCAAGCCAGAATGCCCCTGCACTGCCCCTGCCGAAATTAAGTCTCAGCATGTGTCAGACGGGGTTAAGCTCTACAGCATTCTACAGCTCAACCCATTCAACATCATTCAACAATTTCAACCCTAAACCGAAACCGATCAAAAGACCCAAACGACCGCCCGGGATCTTGCAGAAAGCACAGTCTCTAAATGCAGGATGCCAAAGCGCGATGGCCACACGCATAGCCCGTCCCTTTCTGACTACCTACAGTAAGAGACTGAAGTTTGAAGCTTGGCCCACTTCCTTAATCTAAACCACGGGAGGGGTCCTCCAGCCTGGTGCCAAAAGGCCGGAACACGAGCTTCGCTTTTTTTTGCTGTGGGCTGGAGGTGTTGAAAGCACGTCCGGGGTGGTTACCCAGCTGAACCTGAAGCGAGTCTAAGCTTTAAACACACCGCCTGCCTCCGCCCATCAGAAACCGAATTGGAGGCTTATCTCTTGTCGGGCTGAGAGGTTTCCAATGCTTCAGGACAACACGCGTGGCTTGTCCCGTCTCTTTTGCGAGCTCAAGCCAACCAGCTCTGCAACCAGACTACGTCTGCTCATTCGACGATTGGTCGCTGTCGACTGGTTTTTTGGGGTTGGGTTTAGCGGGGCTCAGTTTGGGTCCTGGTGCTCCAGAACAGTCATCGACAATACCCTCGACCTGAACAATGGTCCGCAAACGCCACACTTTGGGCATTCTGCTTCCCAAGGGTCCAAGTATCCAAATGCTTCTTGAATACTAGGTACTAATTAGTGGCTTGATCTGGGTGAGTCTTACATCTCCCTCCATGGACCCTTCGGGGTCATTTCCTTGCTTCTTGCGGGGGCTCGTAAAGCTTCCAGGGCTTTGTCGCCTTCAGCACCTCTCAGGGAATCCGGGAAAGGCAAAGATCAAGACGAGTGATTCCTCAACGTGCAAGCCTAGCAGCTTTCTCCTAGGACTTGGGAACTGTGAGTGCCTTTGAAAGGTACTTGCGCTGGCATCCGCACGTCGCCTGCAGAAACTTGAGCCCTGGCCTCAAACCCACATCCCGAACACATCCCGGTGCCTCCTTGTTGCGGTCGTCACAGATGGCCACACCAGCCTGCAGCAGTAGTTTAAACAGTTAGGCCGCGATCATGAAGACGTCTCTGCAAAAATAGGTTCAAGGTAACATATAACTAGGCGGACCGATGCACCCCCCCCTCCGTAACCATGACTCCTGAGCACCCCAATATATTGTGGGAGTCAGTATGTGCTTTGAGACATCTCTCCTCTCCAAGAGAATCCGCTGGCTGGCTGGCCTTCTCGTCGTTCAAGCGGCCCAGCTTCCAGACACTCGCTTTTGCACTCCAGAACATGTGGCAGTCCTAGGAGGGGGGCTCGCAAGTTTTGTAAAGGTTTTCAATAAAGTCTGTTGGAGGGGTGCGGGGGCATTGGGGGGTGTTGAGAACGGGATCTTATAGTACTGCATTGTCCGGAGGAGTTCAGCCAGTTGATGAAGAAATCAGTCACGAGCCCCACACTTTGTTAAGCTCCGCACCTATTTTGGAGTCTTGTGCGTGGCGACTGGCTGACTTGAGGTTGGGGGCATCTTGCTGAGCTTGTGCTTGTGCCTGTGAATATCTGCCGGAAATGCACTGGTGGCGCCTCCCGGCCTGCCATTGTGAAGGACATGGGGTTTCTGGGTTTCTGGGGTTTCTGGGAGGGAGGTCCCATGTCTTGTAAACCTGATGAGTGACCAGGGGCCCTCTGCGAATCAACAGGACCTAGAACTGGGATCCATCTCCCAATCTCGACTCGACCGTGATCTCGACCTCAAGTGCCGAATGTGAAGTGTAATGCAGTACCGAGGTTCGCCAGAAGCTAGCCTGCCATCGATAAGCTTTGCGTGCTGGTAACCTGGTTGGCCACGGGTTGAGGACTCCACGTGCTTTGCGCTCACGGACGTCACGTGCCAGTACACATCGCAGACGATTTCCAAACAAAGCTCACACACCCGCACGACGTCTTGCGCACCTTGCGGATGCCGCTGGATGCCGCTGGCATATCAGCTTGCAAACAAATTTTGACAACACACAAACCACTCATATCCACTGCGCACACAAAAGCCAACCAAGTAAACCAATGCCAAGGTCGAGTAGATGAACATCGCTACAACCCGAAAAGCACGCTCGAAGCTGACCGCGAGCGAGCGCATCGAAACATGACAAGGAGAGATGAATAATACTTGTTTAGATATTCCCTGGAATTTCACACATTCCCATGAAGCATCGGGGTACCTAAGGAAATCGAGATTTTCCCATCTACCACTTACCACAGCTTTGTCAAGACCACATCCACACACAAATGAAAGTGGCCAGATTTAACAGCAACCTACAGACTTAGTCCGAACATCGCCGCGCGAAGAGGCTGGGGCGTTTTGCTGCAGAGTGTGTATGGGTCGATGCTGTGCAGTCACTTTTTGCTTGACTTGCTTGGGGCAAGTCAGACCTGCAGAACCGCAAACAAAGGGTGGGCAAAACACGCAAAGAGACTCAAAGAGATGTCCCGAATCGATGAAGACTCTAACTCTATGTGCTTCGAGATCTTGAAGGCCCATGCGTAGCTGCAGACCTATGCTACATAGGACATGTTATAGGACGGAGCGCTTTTTCAAAAGTACAAGCTGCTCATCCAGCGACCTTCAGCGATTCTATGCCAGTGTGTGAGGTTGGAGGCTTCACTCGCCGTTAACCGGGGGAGAAGCTGAAACCGTTGTGCGATTCGCGCTTCACCAAGTTGCATGGGCGATCGTCAACCTCGAAGCTCCGCTGGAAATACCTGCGCTGTTGGGGTGTGGACATCCTATAAAACTAAAGAAGCACAACTGAGCTCTCCTACCCCAAACTGCATTAAGTGCCGCCGAAATACCATCCGCGGAGGGTACGGATCATTTTCGTTCCGGTAACCTGGGCGCGACGGGCAGCCTCTGGGTTTGCAGATTGCACTGTGAATAGTGCGAGCCTATGGCCTCTACAGGGTCGGACACGCGCCGCTACGCACACACGACCTAAAATCCGGAAAGCTCATTTCAGACGTGCTACAGCTGTTGCACCCTAAACCTCACAACCGTGAAGGTGGAAAGGGCAGAGGAAGATAGACAAGAAAAACGAACACTTCAACTTGTACACTCTAAGGGCAGACTTGGGCATGGGAAGCTCCTTTACACGGGCCACGGCGGCCACCAGCACTGGAAAGAAGGGTCTGAGGCTTAGGCACTCAGATGATAGCGGCGACGATGTTAATTCAGCTTTAGTTCTCTTCTCTAGCTTCAAGAGCCGGCGAGGAAGTCCTTCTTCGAGCACAGGGTGAATTCCAGGGTGCGCTAATTGGGATTTGGGTTAAGCCTGCTTTTACGAGCAGGGCTCGGGGTTCTCAGGGCTCAGAACTCTTAGAATGTAATCCCGCGTCTGCTCCTAGGTTTTTTTGGATTTCAACAGGGGGGCAAGGGGGGTGGAACACAGTCAGTGATGTGACCGTGGGGGTTGTGTGTCGAAATGTTGTTCAGGATGTGGCTCAAGACATTGCATACCTCAAACGGAGGCCAATGCAACGAAACTAGAAATTAAGGTCCACAACGAGTCCGTCTCAATTCTCTGACTTGTACAGCTCCAAGTGATAGTTCTCAGAGCTCGACTCTTGAAAGAATTGCCGAGTTGCCCCTCCAGGATCAGAATGGATGCAAGCTGTACAAACATGTTGGTGCGTCCTACTTGAGTTTCAGGTCAGGCAGTATGTCAAAGATCGCATAAGCGGCAGCCTGCAGCTACCCGTTGCCACTGCAAGCTGGCTTGCAAGCTGGCTTGCATTTCCAAACGTGGGATTACAGGGGCCCCTGTGAAGAGCCTAGCTTGAGATATCCTCCTCTTTGCCACCGGATTCCCGTTGAGATCCCTGATCTTTTTGAGGGAGGGAAGGTCATAGCGTGCAAGGCTTGCAGCATCAGCTGTCTGCAGTCCGAGGGCCTTTTTCTCAGCACCTCGCAGGTAGAGGACCTGCGTCGACTCCGGAAAGCCCCTTGGTTTCGGTGATGTGTGATGTGACACGCACATGGCACAAAGATAAATGTGTGAGCCATTAAGGCAAGGCCAGGCGGCCGCTTCACCAAAAGCTCCGAGATAAGCCGGGCCTCCAAAAGGCGGGGGGTAATTAGGTGGTGTTCAAGCTATTCGAGGTACTGTTTGCAACGTGCAATGAACTCCTGTGGCAAATCGACTCCTGAACGGGACACCCTGGTTTAGTATGGAAGGAAGACCAAACATGACAGAAAACAGCTCACGGTCAAACCATCCTGCAGGATGCCCAGACAACGACAACTTGCTGACACGTACACGTGACGTACACGTGCTTCTTCTGTGGTTTTGCAATCTGACAGCGGCTACTCGAAACAATGATGACGTTGCGACGCTGGGAGCTACACTAGCATTTGTTCCACGGCCTCCTTCTGAAGACTGGGTGCATCAAGGAGTTTCTCTTGCTCGATCCTTAGGACAAGCTTGCAGCAGCCTTGTCACTTGAGCCCTGGCCCTGGCCACGCAGCCTTTTTCTGCTACGTCAGGAACCAGAACTGCCAGGGTCTTGCGTGTGAGGCTGGCATGGTGATACTGGAGGCCTTCGCATTCTTCTCCTGAAGTGCTCTAAAACCTGGCCTCCTGCCTGTACCGGCAGTGTACGATTACTATATATCAGCATAGGACCAACTTCAAGTCTTTAACTGTCGCGGGTTTACGAACTTTGCCCCTTTGCGTTACATGCTCGTTTAGGGCTGCAGCTCCGTGAGGGAACTTCTGGCAGCGCTTTTGCAG